TCATTCCACTCTGCTTTTTGAAATCTTCTGTTCAGCTCTTTAATATCTTAAATTATTCTCTCTGCTTTGGCTTCTCTGTACTCCAGTGCAATATTCAGAGTCTCTTCTGACATACATTTTGGTCTTTTCTTCCTCCTCTGTCTTTGTAATGACCTTTTGCACTCTTCATGGATGATTTTTTTGATCTCTTCCCACAATTCATCTGGTCTTCGCACATTGGTGTTCAAGACCTCCATCTGCTATGAAAGACCTTGTTAAAATTCTAAAGAGAAAGAATGTCAATTTAAAAACTAAGATGTGCCTGATACAAGCCATGGTATTTTACATTATTTTGTATGCATGTGAAAGTTGGACCATGAGTAAGGAAGATTAAATTGCAATTGATACCTTCAAATTATAGTGTTGGTAAGAGTGTTGAACATTCTGTGGACTGTGAAAAAAACAAATACATCTTGGAGGAAATGCAACGAGAGTACTCAAAAGAAACAAAGATGGTGAAATTTTGTCTCACATACTTTGGGTATATTTTCAGGAGGAGCGTGTCCTTAAAAAAAGATGCCCTATGGAAAAGGTAGAGAGTCAGATAAAGAGAGGAAGATCCTCAAGCAAATGAATTAACACAGTGACTACAACAATCACCTTAAGGATTGGATTGATACAGTAACCAGGACAATGAGGCTAGGTGTGCTGGATTCAGTGAGACTGGCTCTGGACAGGGCAGGCTTCAGAACTGCTGTACTTAGGGTCTCTATGAGTCACAGCTGAGTCAAGGGCACATAACAACAACAACAGTAGCGTATTACTCAGCCATAAAGAGAAAGTCCTTATGTATGCTATAATATGGTTGGGCCTTAAAGACAATTTGAGAATGAAGGACATCACGAGGATGGTGCAGGATAGGGCAAGGTTCAGATCTGTTGTTCATAGGGTCACTATGAGTGACAGTCAATCTGACAGCACCTAGCAACAATAATGTATATGTACATATATACATGTTGTGGTGGTGTGCTCTCGAGGTATCTGCAGCTCATAGAGAATCTATGAACAACAGCTCTGAAGCCTGCTCTGTCCTGAGTCACTCTCACTGACTGACACATCTACCCACATTGCCCCAGTTACTGGGGTTTTCCTCTTATGCGCTGTCCCTCACCCTTTTGAACATGATGTCCTCTTTCTCCAAGGACTGGTCCCTCCTAGTCAGGATATATGAATAACGAGATTCTACCTTTTTCTTTGACACACACCCATACATACATACATATTTAGGGAGCTTTGGTGGCCTAGGGGTGAGACACTGTGAGCCAATAAAGCACCAGCTGTTTCCACCTAAAACCAGCTAGAGGATCAGCTATGAGTTGGTTCCAACTCGACAGCATGCAGCAGTAGCAATATAGTCTGGTGGCCTAGTGCTAAGAAGCTTCACTGCAATCCTGAAGACAAGCATATTGGATTCAATCCACCAGATACTTTGAGGGAGAAAGATGGCAATCTCCTTCTATGGGATTAACTGCTTCTGAAAACCATATGGAAGGTCAGCTATGGGTCAGTTCTGACTTGATGGTACACAACAACATACACATATACAATATGTGGATGTACAAGACTGGTCCTTGGAGAAGGTTATCATACTTGGAAGGATGGAAGGACAGTGCAGGGAGGAAGACTCTGGACAGGATGGATTGATACAGTAACCAGGGCAATGAGGGTAAGTGTGTGGATTCAGTGAGACTGGCTCTGGACAGGGCAGGCTTCAGAACTGCTGTACTTGGGGTCTCTATGAGTCACAGCCAACTCAAGGGCACATAACAACAACAGTATTGTATTACTCAGCCTTACAGAGAAAGTCCTTATGTATGCTATAACATGATTGGACCTTAAAGACAATATGATGAGTGAAGTTAGTCAAGCACAAGAGAACAGATATTGAATTATTTCACTCATCTGATTTAACCAGAATAAGCAAATGTGTGGGCGCTAATGTTTATTGTCTACTAACGGCAAGAGGGAAAGGAGAAAAGGGAGTCACTGTTTAGAAAACTTTTCCCCCTGTTTCTTAAGATAAAATTTTGATGGTAAATATGGATGATAATTATGCAGCATGATTAACGTCATTGAATTTGTTAAACTGTAACATGAAAAAATATTAAAGTGACAAATATTCTGTTTTACATGCAAACACACACATGTACGTATTTATGATAAAAAAGAAGGGAAGTGGAAAGAATGCCCATTCTCACCTCTCCTCTTGCTTGGTTGTGGTCTCATAAGTTTCTGACCTTAGGGAAAACTAGTGCACATAATTTCATCAACAGATGCACTAATGATACTCTAATGATAATGATAAGTATTTTCCCTCACTAACAAGTAAACAAACAAACAAACAAGTAAAAACACCTCAGCAAAAAGCCTCACATGTTTATGTTTTCATTGGACAGAAAAGATGACTCCACAAGCTGGGTGTTCTTCACCTGAGATCTCAATCCAAGAAGAAGAGCATCAGATAAAGAGAATGATGGCAAAGCGGTTGAAAATCATCAAGGAGCTGATCCAGACAGAGAAGGATTATCTGTATGACCTAGAGCTGTGCCTTAGGGAAGTGGTTGAGCCTCTAAGAAATAAACAGGTAAATACCACTTTGAAATGCTTTTCTCTTTTCTCTACAATTATTATTCCTTTTTTAAAAAAATCCTCCGTGGGCCTAAATAAAATCATCAGGATTGTGAAATCAAAGTACCCAAGAATATCAGTAGTAGCATCTACCGTAGTAAATGACAAGCCTTTCTATGTGAGTCCTTGGGCTTGAGATCCACGGAAAGCATTATCGGTTTCCTACTTCCTGAGCCAGCAGGGTGACTGTCAGAACTTCTCTATTAGCCAAATAAAATGATATTTCAAAACAGGCATAAAGGTATGGGGAAGAAAATGTGCCAGTTTTGCCTCTTGGAAATTTTTATGTGTTCACTCTTGAATTCTCATTTAACAATTAACAAATGTAAACAATACATTTTCAGCAGGCTAGTGTAAAAAAGAAAGGAAAAAAATCCACACTAACTTAAAAATAAAGTGGAGCCAGTGGGAAGACTTAAGGCAGAACAGCCCCCACAGTATAAAACAAATTTCTAGGAGCAAGACTTGATCCTATACTTCCACTCCTACTTTTACAAATTCTAACACTAACTTTCTCTCCCAGGAGTCTCATTGCTCTATTGTTGGGTTAAAAAAAATTCATTGCAATGGCCACACAGAACTCACAGAACCAAACTCACTGTTAAGGAGTTTATTCAGGAAGTTAACAGGTTGCAGTTCAGATTGCTCTTCAGTCAGGCCAGCTTCTTAAGCGTGCTCATGGACCCTTTGAGCTTCATCCTAGTTCGGTTAGGTCAGTGTTACAAAGCTCTCTTAGTCTTGCTAATTACAGTGGTTCCCCTCAACCCCATATCTCTAAGTCCTCCAGTAAGCTTGGGTGAAGGCTCCTGATTCTGGGTCTTTGGGCCAGCAGTCCCAGGTCAGCTCTGTTTCACATCAATCTCTGGTTCTTTGCTGCTGTTGCTGATACATTCATCTAGATCCTAGTCAGCAGCAGAACTCTCTGTCCTAGAAGGATATGCTTTACATTCTTTGGTTTTTCTTTACTGCTGATAGCAAGATTCCCAATTTCTGTGATTGAACCTGCTTGATTTAAACCTGGCAAGATGGCAGGACTGGCCAATCCCTTCATCCTGAGTCTACATATTCTATTTGCATGTACTTGCTCAGTCATCTGGCAAAAATCAAAGACAATTGCCTAGGAAACCAGTTGTGAGCAATAACTCACTTACTGCACACCATTCCCTGATTTTCCTAGCCATTGAAAGACTTAACTTTCCCCTTAAGATCATCTTATTAATGACTGCATTCATGAATGTATGCCGGTCAGATACTTTATATCTCATGCTTTCATATCCCTTATTTTAGAGTAATTTTTCAATTTGCTCACTACTATCAAACCAATCAGAGGCTGTAAATCACACAGGAGGATATAACCTATTTTCTCCTTCATTGTAGCTGATGGGTTTGAACTGCCTGCCTTTGGGTTGGCACTGCAATTCTTTATCATTAGGCAGCCGAAGAAACCAGTGTGTTTTGCTGTTACAAAACTGTTTTTTGCTGAAAGAAGGACTAGAAGCACGAGCTGCAGAATGTTAAATATTGCAGCATTCAATTCCATCTCAACATCAGGAAAACAAAAATCCTGACCACTGGGCCAATAGGCAACATCATGGTGGATGGAGAAAGTATTGAGGCAGTCAAGATTTCATCTTACTTGGATCCACAATCAATACACTTGGTACTAGCAGTCAGGAGATCAGGAGACATAGTGCACTGAGAAAGTCTGTATTCAGGGACCTCTCCAAATTACTTATGAGCAATGTCAGCTTGAGGACTAAGGTGCACTCTATTCAGCCTATGGTCTTTTTGGTTACTTGCTATGCATTTAGAGCTCGGTAATGACTAAGGATGAGGAATTGATATCTTTGAAATGTGGTGTTTGAGAAAAGTGTTGAAGATCTCATGGATTTCCAAAAGAACAAATAGATATGTCTTAGAGAAGGTGCAGCCAGAGTACTCTTTGGTAGAAAAGATGATGAAATTTCATCTCACATACTCTGGGCTTGTTGCTAGAAGAGGTCATTCCTTGGAGGGGGACATGGTACTTTGGGAGGTGGAGGAACAGTAAAAGAGAGGAAGACCCTCGACCAGGTGGATTCACAGAGTAACTGCAGCGATGGATTTGAGTGTGTCAGAAATTGTGAGGATAGCACCTGAAAGGACAAGGTACAGATTGGTTGTTCATAGAATCGCTGAGTTGTACTCAACTTGATGGTACCTAACAACAACATCAAATCAAAGACTGAAACTACTAACCACTTAATCTTGTTTGGATCTATAATCAAGAAACCTAGTACCAGCAGTGAGATAAAGAGATGTATTGCACTGGGAAAGTCCATAGTCAGGGACCTCTCCAAATTATTGAGAAACAATGATATCAATTTGAGATCCAAACTGTGCCTGATTCAGATTATAGTCTTTCAAAGACACTTGATATGTATCGAAGACCTGGACAATGAATAAAGATCACAGAAGAGTAGATGCATTTGAATTGTGGTGGTGTAGAGGGTGGAGAAGAGCCCAAGGATTGGAAAAGGAACAGACTGAGAGTGCTCCTTAGAAGCAAAAATGATGAGACTTCATCTCACATGCTTGGGCATGTTCCAAGGAGAGGAACCTGATGGTCGGTAGGGCAGTGTATTGTCCAGTGAAAGAAAGACTCACAACCAGGTGGATCGACACAGTGATGGCAGCAATGGGCTCTAGTGAATTAGAAATTGTGAGGATGATACAGAAAAGGAGAGGGTTCACATAGGATCCTACGTACAACAAATGTTGTACTATGTTGCTTGCTATGAGCCACACTCTACTTGACAGCACCTAAAAACAGCATCATCAAACCAGTATTTTGAGAAAGCAAACATTCCTTTCTTTGAAGAATGTTCTATTCTGGCTAGGACTTTGAGCATTTGCATCTATAAGCAAAGTCCAATGTAACCATAGGATATAAATTCCAACCCTAGACCACAGCAAACATTATCTGGCTGGGTTCTGCTAATTTATCCTAGCCTTCTTTGGTAAGAATCAATCAGTACCAACTGTAAACTCAGAGGTCCACACATCTTCCTGCATTTAAGACTACCCAGTCCCTTCACTCTCACCCTTACACCCTTACATGAGGCAAATGTATTGTGTGGGCTTATGACACAAACAGAGAAAATTGACAAAAGGTTTTATAATTGCAAACACATTTATTGGAGCTATAATGTATGAAGCCCATATATATTTCATATAAAATCAATTCAGAAGGTAAAGCATTAAAGGCAGCTCAAATTTTAATATTCATTCACGCATTAACATCCAAACAATTATGTCTAGCAACTAATTATTCATAACCAGTATTCAACCAAGCATAATGCTCACCACAGGGATTGTTCCTTGCAAAATCCAGCAAGAGAGGAAATAGAGAGTGAAGAGATGTAGGACACTGAGGTGGTTTGTTCTCTTCTGATGTCTCTGTTTTTTTCCATCCAGAAGATCAGATTTTATGCCTTTATTTCATGCAGGACAGGTCTACCAAAGCTAAGATTTCAACAATCAGAATGGTTCAGAATTGTTGTTGTCGTCATGTGCCTTTTGAGTCAACCAAGAATTTTTGCAATCCTATGAGTTTAATCTCTCTGAACTTTGCCCTATCCTGAGCCAACCTCACCCTCTCCAACACTTTTTTTTTTCACAGAGCTTTCCACTGTTTTATTCTCCAACACTCTTGACCCCATTGCCACAGTCACTATGTCAAGCTCTTTCATTCAAAGTCTTCTTCTCTTGCACACCCAGTAAATAATCTCTGTGGGACTTATTTCCTAAATAAACACATTGCTTTCCTGTAAGATATTTTCCAGGGATGTAAACCAATCAAATTGATGTTATTCATCTCAAGATTAGCACATTAGACCTCTATACTTAATTTTAGCACTTTGTAATAAGCACATTAATTTTCTGGGTCCAATATAGCATTTTTTCATTAGCATTTAGTCTCTGGAATATTGCTCACGGTGAATGTGTCCAAAAATTTTCATGGCCATATCTTATCTGACAAACACTTGCTTGTTACATTTAACATTCTAACCCTTTAGCTTCCTAAGCTTCACTCTTTATTCCTAACAATGTTTTCAACAATGAGGCACACTTTCTTAACAATTTTTAGACTTCTAAATTTTAGCATTACTAGCTTCCTTCTCTATTTTACAATATACTCTTTATGCTAACCCACACTTGCTTATTAACTTCTAACATTCTAAACCTAAATGTCATTTTATATTGCTAACAATATACTAAACATCACACCACCATATTCTTACCCCACTTCAACTTGACAGACATAATCCCTTTTAATCAAACATAACACAGCAAACTCATAGTCCTCTCTTCACAGTCACCAGTCTAACTTACGTTCTTTACAGACTACAAAGACTCTTTTTGTATTTCTAAAATTGTGCTCTTTTTCTTTTTAACAACATGTTCTTAACATCAAGTCAACAAGTTAGAAGTCTTCATGACTTCCTGCTCCCAGCCAAGCATCTTGTCTTCACTCACCCTTAGCATCTGTGCCAACAGAACATATCTAAACTCAACCTGTATCTTTGTTGCTATATACTGAAAGGTCCCAACTGACCAAGTTCAGAAGCAACATTAGCCCAGTGTATAGCTAATATGTCCACGGCACATCACAACAACAACAACATAGCTAATGTGCTTTCATTAAAATTCACACTTTGGTGAAAGTAGGCTAAGGGTCATTTGGATCTGCCCAGAAGAAAGGAAAGAATAAGGTAGTTTATCCCTTCTACATTGGCCTGTTGGAAGTCCTCACAGCAGTTTGAAGGGCCTGGGGCCATTTTCCATTATTTCAGCACTCCCTGTTTTATCTCTTGGGGTGGGCCATAAAACCGTGCTTGGAGGTAAACATTATTCACATTATTTACTATTTCCTGGAACACACAGACCTATTCAGATCGGGTCATAAAGGCCAGA